CACCGTCAATTTACGCAGCACTTTACATATATATTGTACATTCACATCAGTCCCTAACCCTCAAGGGGAGTACAATCTAAGATCCCTAACTCACATTCATACATACACATACTACGGCCAATTTAGACAGGAGCCAGTTAACCTACCAGCATGTCTTTGGAGTGTGGCAGGAAACCGGAGTACCCAGAGGAAACCCACGCAGTCACAGGGAGAACATACAAACTCCAGGCAGGTGGTGCTGTAGTTGGTATTCAAACCTATGACCCTAGTACTGCCAGGCAGAAGTGCTAGATGGCCGCATGTCTTCTTTAGAGACCTTAGGTTAAATAGTTTCATCCCAATGCTAGAGTCATCATTCAAATGTTTGTATATTGTAATCATATCCCCTATTAAACACCCCTTCTCCAGGCAGAATAAGTTTAGTTTTGTAGTCGTTCCTCATACATTAGGTCCTCCAACCTCTTTATTAGCTTTGAGGCCTTTCTCTGGACTATCACCAGTTCAAGGACATCCTTCCTGAGGACTGGTGACTAGAACTGAATGGCATAATCAAAATGTGGCCGAACCAGAGTTTCGTAAAAGTGGTAGAATTATAGTTTTATCTCTTGAGTAGATGCACTATTTAATGCATGTAGTCTGCTGGTCTTGCTTACTGTACCTTGACATTGAATGCTATTGCAGAGTCAATAGGCAATTGATCTCATTGTTTAAAAAAATATTGCGCTTTGTAAAGCAGTAAACTTCAATCAACATGCATGTGCACTATGAAGGCCCTCACACCTATAGAAAGCAATCAAATCAGTGAAAACAAACAAATAAATAATAATGTATAAACTTCACTGGACATGTACATACACTATGAAACACACACATACCTATGAAAAGTGATCAAAGTAGTAAAAATCTAAAACCAGTGACATGTTATCCATGCAAACACACAGCAAAGTCCATATGTAAATGAGGTTTTGCAACCAGTAATAGTGCTGTATTTCAATGCCGTAAATGTAGTGTTGATATCGTGGGTAGTATTCCTTCGGGTATTCACCAACACGTGCACCACCACCAAATAATTAAATGGAGGCTTACCAGTAGCAGAGACCTCTTAATTATAGGGGGTCTCAACCAGCATTGCAATATGGAATATTATCCAATTATCCATGCCATGCCCAGATCAGGGATTTTCCAAACTTCTAAGACCCATAGGTGTGAGGGCCTTCATAGTGCACATGCATGTTGATTGAAGTTTACTGTTTTACAAAGTGCAATATTTTATTTAACAAAGTTTTTGTAAAGAGAGGATATCCTCTTTATTATTTGCAACTTTGTAAGATAAGGGTATCGGAAATTTGCGCACTTTGATCCTGTTTACATAATTGATCTCATTGGTTAGATTTCCTTTAATTTCTTGTCCCACAGCCAATACAGGACATTAGAGAAAATCCCTCCAAAGTGAGGAAATCCTTGATTGTCTCCAGAGGTTGTGTCCCTCTATTAGCTTGGTGCTCAACAGTACAGCAGCAGTATAATAATCATGACAAGCAACAGGTAATGTTGTATTCAAAATAACATGACTTGCCGATGCTGCCATTTGATATAATTCATTATTTAAATAATGGAGGTCACTTGAAACTGTTGTTGAGCTGCAATGTGATGATTTTGGAATTACACTTGGATTACAAGTACAAATATTTGCATCCAATGAATGTCGCATCCCTGGGGTTATGATATAGCAATGGATGAAATGGAGACCATTTGATGTGAATGATCTCTCTGTAAGGCATTTTTCAAGTTTAAGTATAACTCACTGCAATTGAAGCTAATTAATTATGGAGATTGTAGAATTTAAAGGCACAGCCAGCTGGTTAAAGTACGATAATCTCTACCATTCTTGCTGCCAGTAAATGGACTGGTGTAATCTTTTGCACATAGTCATGTCAAGCGTATCATCTGATTGTGAAATCAGATTGTATAGCGCATGCTTACCTTTACAGAAGAGATACAAGGCCCATCATATCTAAACCAGAAGTCTGTAAGTATTATTGCTATGTACAGTATTATATTATATATTATATATTGCTATTGTATATATAGCCAAAACGTTTTGGGTAGCTAGAGAGGAGGGTTAAAACCACTGAGGTGTTTTTTTTGCTGTCTGTGTACTATTGAGGAATGTCCCTTCAGTGCCTTTTCCTTTGTCTATCCAAAACTATAAAAAACAATGTTTTTTTAATGTAATTTTACAGTCTGCCTCTTTTCTTAAAACAAAATGGCTACATTCACAACAAATGCTGTTGATTTTGGCCCTTTGTACATCTGGAGGAAACATAACATTCCCTAACATTCCCTAAAATTCAGTGAAAAACTCTACCACCTTCTTCCATTTACAAAATATCATAAACCATATTGTATCTTTGGGCAGTTTGCCAACAGATTGAATCCCCTAGGGCAGACTGTCCCTTTAAAAATGAGGTACCTAGACCTGTCTGGGATAAATTAAAAAAAAAAAAAACTTACTAAATAGGTGCCTTTGGTGTTTTCTAATTTCATTATTTTGACAAATTTCAAAGAGATCACTTTTCAAGCCCCAGCAGGCAAAGTAGTAAAATATCACTGCTGCATATTTCTTCATTTTATTCACCTGCAAGATTATTTCTTATCAGTTTTCATTAGCTATGGTCTAAGAAATTAAAAACTTTCCTTGGAGAGCTTCGGATTAAATGTCTGAATTTCAAGCAAGTAATTATTCGCCTCTCGGTAATAATGTGATAGAGGCAGGAGGAAAGATAAAAATGACATATTGTTGTGCATTGTTGCAGGCTCTTCTGGAGAAAAGATTGAATTATATTGTCCCGAGAGAGAAGCTGGCATAAAGTGATTCCACCAAAAGCAAGGCATTCATTCTGAGCAAAAGTTCAGCCATCTTGTCCCAGACATTATAATGGCAGAGCCATTTCTTTTAACTTTTAACTGGTAATGGATGGCTGAGCTGTTCAATGATTACCCAGATTTGCTGATATCATACAGTAGATCTCATCCGTCAGTTGCTATGGTTTTTAGAGCGTCAAGACATTTCATTTTTATAGAGTGTATACAGTATTTGTTATTGTATTTTGTAATACTCCCATGATCATAGCTCATTTGTTTCCCATGATCTCTTTAACAGAACATTTTCAAAAAGCTTATATAAATAATGGTATTACACAACTGGTGAAGTAAATTTAAAATCTCATATAAGTTTTAACATGTTCATGCAATTTGAAAGTTTTCAAAATGTTTTAAGTGGTTCTAAAGGCAGATGGTTTTTTTTCTTATCTTTATGCATTCTCTGGGAGAAGGAAGATTTGCTTCCTTGATGTCCGAATGACAATGCCCCTTTCAGGTAACTCATTGCTCCAAGCCCAGTCAAGTCATTTAAAGACGCACTATTAAAGGAAATTTTGGTAGTTTAGGCATATATGTAGGACCAACAGTTTGATTATGAAGCACCTATAATTTATAAACGGTTTTTAGATGGGGGTACCATAAATGGATACTTGAGAGAACCTTGATGACTGCTAAAAGCAAGAAAAGGGCTGATTTACTGAGGGGGAATGAACAGTTTCACAACTCAAAGAGGAACCCTCTCTATGACTTATATATTGAATTTGAAGAAAATTGTGAATAGATATTTCACCTTAAGCTTTTTCAATCTGGTTGGCACATAGTCCACCATGTGGCAGCACATTAAGGGCAATCATTAGTGTGGTGCTTTGGGGTACTCTTGTTGCAGCCATGTATTGGGGGATGCAAAGTTCGCTCCTCTGTCAATGGCAAAGAGTTCAAAATTGATTCCTTTTTTAATTGTAACACCTGGTATATCGTCTATGTCATCACTTACAGCTTATGCTACAGTATATGGATGTTTTCAGATAACTGTCAGTCCTCATGCACTAGGGACGTTTTGATACCGCTGGTAACGTTAGCTGTGTAAAGTCACATTAAAAAAAAACGTGTTTTTTCAGCTTTTTTTTAGCATTTTTGCATTAGCGTTTAGTGGAGTTTTCCAATGTTGGCATTTTTTAGCTTTTTTTTATAAAAAAAGTCCAAAAATGCCAGTTTGCGGTGTTTTGCTGCATTTTTCAGAGTTAGAGCATTTTTACAGCTAAAAAACTCCTCTAGAAACCCACTAGTCCTGAGTTTTTTTTTTCTAACAAAAAAACGTCCCTGCCAAACAAACATTGATTACAGTCTATGTGTGCATGGACACATAGGATAACATGCTAGGGGGTTTACTAGCTGTAGAAAAAAATGTCAAAAGACAAAAACTGCCGCTGTAAAAACGTCCAATGTGCATGAGGACTCAGTAGTAAAAGCCGAAAGAACTATTAATTGACGGGTGTGGCATTATCTATTTAACAAATAACTCTCTTGGCTTCTTTTGTTATGAATGAGCAGAATTTTGTGTGAAGCACATCAATAAACTGCTATTTTGCATACCCATGCTGTCCTTTTGAAGGAATAAACTATTGAACAACTTTACGGTGGAGTGCAGCCATTACTTTTCACTCAGTATTGCGGTGGCAAGCCATGGCGGGTAACTGCATGAGAGCTGTGTAAGGCTGACGGCATCTCACCTGGAGTGGTGATCTCTTCTAAGTATTAGGGGGGGGGGGGGAATGCTGCAAACAAAAGGGTTTTTTACTTTCATGCATGCAATGCATGAAGGTAAAAAGAAAAAAACAAAAACCTTGAACCTTTACAACCACTTTAAATATTCATCTTTCATCATCATGTGTTAGGTACACCTAAAACCAGATGATGTGTGGCAGTCCAGACAGGTCTCAAATCCAGTTACTATGTAATTCAAGAGCCCCCTCAAAGAACAAAAAAAAACATACCCTCATTGAGCTAGCCAAGGCTCTTTGCAACGGCTTCTTGTCTACATGTACTCCAGTGAAGGCTGCATGGTATTTCTTGGTGAGGGTTTCCTGATGATGACAACAGCAGACCATGCTTGTGGAGGCCAATTCTAGTCAGAAGATTATGTGACAGGGTGACAATGTAGGAGCATGGTTTAAAAACAGGTAGAGCCAGGGGCGGACTGACAACTCATGGGGCCCCCGGGCAATAGGGGATCATGGGGCCCCTGTGTCCTTGCCCAAACTCAAAAAAGCCTATGAAAAAGTACCAGGGGCATCTCATGGGGCCCCCTACTGACCCTGGGCCCTCGGCAGTGTCCAAGTTTCCAAATTGTCAGTCCGCCCCTGGGTAGAGTGCATTGACACCCTATAACAAAGATGCACTTGAACAAGGACCTTTATGGTAGAATCATCAGGTACTATTTTGATCTCTTTCCGCCCACGTAACACATGTATGCGTCAATGGACAGCTGATGTTTCTGTGCTGTCAAGGACAACTCTCAGTCCCTACTAATGATTGGCAGTCAGTGGGGCCGGTTCCTGAATGTGTGACCACTGTGACAGCCTAGTACATTGGTCACATGATCGCTGATTCTTCCTGCCCTCGGGCATACATGGGACGCCGTGGTTTGGCAGGAAGGGTATAATGAAAGCTTCAGACCTCAAACTAATAGAAAATTACATTTGAAATTACATTGACAAAGACTTATTAAAGGCATATGTAACATTTTAGAGATTGAGTTTAGATATACAGAGCAGGGGATCACCATGACAGCCAGGAAAGCTAGCATTTTCCAGAGGGCAGTCTATATATTTCCCTAATAACAAGTTTTCAATAAATAATTCTATACAATAGAAGCAATATGAAACACCCTTTTTGTATATAAATAACTTTTTTTTTCATTTGTGGGTGGTATGTGACTCAACTGGTATAAAACACATACATGTCAATCACTATTTCTTTCCGTAAAATAAAACGCAAAAAGCTATCTGTGTGTGTGTCACTTATCATCAGGTTTTATATTAATCCATGTGGAAGCTCTGGATGGGTCCAAGAGAGGGATTTCTCTATAATCTGCTTCCTGACAGCTTTGTAAGTATTACAATTTCCCCACATGGTTACAGATTGTCAAACACAAGCTTTGCCAGGTTCGGACTGTAACAACATAAATACATCAGAGCCAGAAACCTTCACTGATTTATGGAGAGGACAGACTGCATCAGAGTTTCCAGGGCTTTATATGATCCAATGTTTAATTAGCAGAGAATCCTGTTCATAAACTGTCAGCGAGTCCGGTATTTATCTGGATTCCATCTGTGGTGAACACACGGTTGTTAATCCCCCGCTATTGATTTTTGAAGAAAAAAATCGCTTTCTGTTGGGGTTTTCCAAAATCAAGTATAACACTTATTGAAATTAATGCCTAAGCCAACCTGCCAGAGTGACCCTGCTCCATGTTTCTGCCAACTGGCTCTTTGCAGGGTAACGCTAAGCTGGCTAAAGTGCTTAAAGAAGACAACTGGTACAAGTTGTCCCCACTTCTCCAATACTTACTTCTACAGCAAAAACAAAATTAAAATATGTGTCTTCAGATACACTTTGACCCCAGCAGGATCTGGCTGAAGACTGAAGAAGTCATTCATATTGAAGGACGACTGTACCTTTGGTAGAAGTTGGTTCCATTCCCTCGAGTGCAGGTTTCTGCCAATCGGCTCTTTGCGGGGGTAACGCTGAGGTGGCTACAGTGCTTAGAGAAGACAACTGGTAAACATTGTCCTTTAAAGTTTTGCCCCACCTCCTTAAGGCCCCACCTGCTCCAATACTTACCTCTTAAAAAACTAAATTAAAAATATGTCTTTAGATACACTTTGACCCTAGCAGGATATGGTTTAAGACTGAAGAAGGCACTCATATTGAAGCACAACTGTACCTTTGGTAGAAGTTGAATGCAGCCTACTAGGTCTCATACTTACCTCTATCCCAGAAATCTACATTGTGTATCTCTGCATGGAACCACTTGAATCGCTTGAGTGCAGCCTATCTGGTCTGATACTTATCTTGGCCCCTGTCCCAGCAATCTCCATTGCATATTTCTGCAAGGAACCACACAGCCTTTCCTCAGAAAACATACTTACTGGACCCTCTTCATCCTGGAGCTTTGCATTATGGCCTTATTAATTCCTATAGGGAGCCATGTTCATGGTGACCTCCAGAGTGCAACTTTTTCCCTAGGAGTGAGAAGGGCCACAGCATGGATACATAGATAAAGAGGACCCAGCAGGGATGCTTTCTAAAGAAAGACAGCGTGGCTCTAGGCCAGGCTCTTGGTGAAGACTGCTGGAACTGGGGGAGGGGTAAGTATCAGATCAGGTAGGCTGCACTCAAGGGAGGGGGGCAACTTCTACCAAAGGTACAGTTGTCCTTAAAAATGATTGCCTTCTTCGGTCTTCAGCCATCTCTTGTTTGGGTGAAAGCAAATCTAAAGACACTTTTTTTCTTTTAACTCGCTAGGGATTGGTTAGAACTGCAGACTTGTTTCTTATCGTGGGGGAAAACTCAAGCAAAGACATTTCCATGGCAAAGCAATCCAACCCTTGATAAATTCAGGAAGGGGATGTCTGACATGGGCAAATGTTGCCTATAGACATTCCATAATTGCCAGATCCTACTGTAAGCTTCTGCCAAATTTAATCTTATCTTCATAGGCCCCATATAGTTTCACAATTTAAGCTTCAGTTGGTATTAATTTTTAATGCTTAACTGGAGAACCTATAATAATTGATCAAAATAATTTTTTTTACTATTTGGCACATTTTCAGCTATGTTGTAAATATGTACTGTCAAACTGTATAATTTATTCTTGTCTGTTATATGTATCTTACCTGTAGGTCATTTTTATTGGGGGTATGTTGCACAAATTGGTACTGTAGCTCCATGCTTTCCTCATAAATTTTGATAATTGATATTTTATTTTACTAGGGGTTGAAAATTCACTTACATTATACAATCATGTGAAAAACAAATTTCTGTTTTCAGTACATTAACATAACAGTGCCGCGCTTTCTGTAAATATATGTGAATATAGACAAATTATATAAAAAAGTGAACTTAGATGAAAAAAAAGTCTCTAAATATAGTAATTTCTTCAACTTGAAAAAACTCTACAATTCCATATCTTCATGCAATTTCCATCCTCCACCACAAACACCAGATGTACGCTCACCTGGAGTTTCTGACCTCCCATATAGTTTGGTCAAAAAATGCATGTGTCCCTTGAAATGGACATGAATGGGCAGGTATATCCTGGAAATGGACTCTTCCTCCAGAGATCACCGATACCTTTAATCTTTCCTCCTCCACTCAGCAAACATGTCAAAAACCGAGTGAAACACAATAGTGCTTTATCCTTTAAAACACATTACTTTATTAAAAGCATAAAAGTGGCCACTCACATGGTTCAGGTGCTTGATCTCAACAGATATATGCGCAATAAAAACAAAAGAGAAAAGTTCCCAGCTCAACTTGCCAGCCAGCTTGCAAACAAACTGAATTAACCTGTCTAACAGTATGCGTTAAAAACAGGGGTTTAGTTAGCACACATTTGCAAACACATTAGTAAGCTACAGAGCCATGGCACCCCGATATTCTGTAGCTCCTAACTCTACAAATTTTGAGAGCCCCCATAGTAGAGGCACATGTATTTAATGGATAGACCAAGGGCAGGTGAACCTGAGGGAGCCCACCCCTCTTTAAAGGTACAGCAGCGCACCGGACACCCAGCATGTAGCACTTGTCAAAGACTGTCTACTGTCATTTTTTACACTACACTTTTTTTTGTGATGAGTAGCGGTACCATGTACCCCATACTCATTCACATGGAGGGGGCTGGGATCTGGGGGCCGCCTTGTCAAAGGGGGCTTCCAGATTCTGATAAGCCCCCCGCCTGCAGACCCCCATAACCACTGGTCACAGTTGAGGGGAACAAGGTGACTTGAGGGGAGGGTCCTGCCCCAAAGCAGCCCCCCCATGTTGAGGGCATGTGGCCTAGTATGGTTCAGGAGTGGGGGTGCTTCCTAATCTCCCCCTTTCCTGACCTGCCGAGCTGCATGCTCTGATAAGGGTCTGGTATGGACCCCGCGCCATTTTTTAAAAAATATGGTGTAGGGGTTCCCCTCAGAACCCATACCAGACCAAAACAGCTTAGTAGTATGGTTGGGGGGGGGGGAACCCCAATGCTGTTTTTTGGCTTACTTTTTAATTGCCTGCAAATCTTTTTTTTTTAATTCAGTTTTCAGCAGGGAACTCCGCTGAGAGCTGATACATTACTGCATGGTTTTCACTACTAAAAAAACGCATGATTTCTTAGAGTAAGTAATGCAAAATTTTAGTAGTGTTTTTTAGTGAATGCCAATTTTTTTTGCTGTGCGGTATGTTACCGTATACTCAGATGTGGTAAAACACATCTTAGTGAATTGTCCCCTGGGTTCAAAGTTCGTGGTTGAACTTTCTTTAGGTTGGAATGTTCGACCACGAACTGAACAGGGGAGTGTTCGACCCATCACTACTTATATTAAAAGTCAGCAGCTACAGCACTTGTAGCTGTTGACTTTAATTTTTTTGGGGAGAGACTGGAGCTCCTCTTTAAGATAATAAATATACTGTAAGCCGACGGGCTGAGGAAGTTCTAGGCAGTTTTACAAGCTAGCCAATTAACAGCAATTAAGGAAAAACAAAACTGGACATTTCTTAGGTACTGTCTTGCACTGCTCTAATCACGAGGCATGTTTTATAACTGGAAAAACAAACTGAAATGATGGGCTAAGTCATAGAATGGGGAAAAATATGTGCTCCCTACTAGTACATATTTTGTTTGTTTTTGGCAATTCCAACAAAAACTCTTGGAAGTCCTGTTTTCATTTACAAGCTAAAGAGAAAAAAATGTCAAATTGAATCGAAAAGGCATGTTAGACAGAATGAAATTAACGCAATTCAAGGGATTCAAACATAACAGCTTTAGCTGTTTTCAATCACTCTCTAAGTAGCAGTTACACAGCTCATTGGTTTTCCTCTCCTTTATTTATAGTGTGATTCACATTTCGCTATATATGAACAAAATCTACACTTTCACACCTGTCTAAAAATATATTTTCTAGTAAGTTTTCTATTAGCAATTTCACCAGA